TCTAAGTAAGTTTCTTTCCACTTTGCACACGTTACCCCGATCTCTGCCTGACACATTCCTCCCCCACCCCGATTCCTCGGGGATCCCCTTCCTGAGAGGCCCATGCGGCAAGGACAGCACACCCAGGACACCCTCAAGTCCACCCTGCTTCCTCAGAGTGCCCCGTGGACTGTCCTCTCCCCATCTTCTCGCTAACCACTGTCCATTCGGCTTCAACCCAGTTTAGAACCACAGAGTCCGCACTCACCACAAGGAATACACTGCAATACCTCACTGACCCTTCCTGACCACCCTATCCATTAGGATAGAGCTTTTATTTGCTTGGATTTGTTTGTTGTTGTTTGTTTGTTTTTTTCGAGACATGGTTTCTCTGTGTAGCTTTGGAGCCTATCCTGGCACTCGCTCTGGAGACCAGGCTGGCCTCAAACTCACAGAGATCCACCTGCCTCTGCCTCCCGAGTGCTGGGATTAAAGGCGTGCACCACCAACGCCCAGCTTGTTGTTTTTGGAAAGGGTCTCACTGGGTTGCCCAGGATAGTCTCAAATTCTTATCTTACTGCTACAGTCCTGAGTTAGGATTATGGGTATTTGCCAGCATGTCCAGATAGTCTTTATTTATTTGACCTTATTGAGACAGGGTCTCACTATTTCCCATTGGTCAGCCGGGACTCCCTATATAGACCAGGCTGGCCTTGAACGCACAGCAGCCCACCTGCTCTTACTGCCTGGGTGCTGAGATTTAAGGTGTGGCTTCACACCTAGCTCCCTGGTTTCTGATTTTGAGGAAAGCAAGGCACAATGAGAAGAAACCTCGTGCTCGGGACCGCGCACATCCCGTAGGACACCCACCACCTGCCCCCAGAGCCCGTATTTACAGACAGATACTATGCGATGCCGATGCCATTTCCCATGGAACCCGAGGAAGCCAGGCGAGGAGTCCAGGCACAGGAGGGCACTGGGGAGGCGACGGGAGGCTCACCTGTCGTATGGTGTGCCACAGCCTTTGCCAGCATTGTCTTCCCACAGCCAGGTGGGCCATACATGAGGACGCCCCGGGGAGGATCGATGCCAATCTGAGAGAGGTGGGGAAAAAAAAGGTGAGCCAAGGAATCCCGTCCTCAGACCCAGCGCCAGCGAGGCCTCCCGGGGCCCCCCCTCCAGCACCCCACCTGCTTGTAGAGCTCGAAGTGTGTGAGTGGGAGCTCCACCGCCTCCCGCACTTCCTGCTTCTGGATGTCCATGCCTCCGATATCCGCGTACATCACATCTGGCTTCTGGTCTGCTGGGAGAGTAGAGCTGCTGCTTCCAGTTTGGCCCACAGGGTCCCCTTGGGACTCCCAGGACCCTAGGCGCCCCCCCCTCACCTGAGGTGAGCATCATGATGCTGCTGTCGGCCTCAGGGGGCAGCACGTCCACCAGCGCGTTGCTGTGTTTGTGCAGGGCCACCGAGGCATTGGGCTTGAGCAGTTCCCGGTCAATGGTACTTAGGATGCGCACGTAATAGTTAGAACCTTTGGAAAGGGCATGGGAAGGAAACGGAGAAAACAAAAAGAGCCAGAGATGTGACATTGTTCCTTCCCCATTTCCCTTTATCTCAGAGGTGACACTTTTTTTTTTTTTTGGTTTTTCGAGACAGGGTTTCTCTGTGTGGCTTTGGAGCCTATCCTGGCACTCGCTGTGGAGACCAGGCTGGTCTCGAACTCACAGAGATCCGCCTGCCTCTGCCTCCCGTGTGCTGGGATTAAAGGCGTGAGCCACCCCCATGATCCTTATCTGTCTACAGCCCCGATTCTCTTTTGAGGTCTATCTCTGGTGTCCCACGTGCTGTCTTTGAGTGTCCCTGGGTGTCTTCCAATGTGTCTCAACATAATGCTGGTATTTTTCTTTAAACTGTGCTATTCTTCCTGGATCGGTCTCAAGGATACCCATCATCCTTGAGTTCCCAGCCAGAGGACTAAGCCTCACACTGGCCCCGCCTCTCTACCCTCTCAGGGCCCTCACTGACTGTGACTTTCTACCTCCCCTCCCAAATCTATTCAACCCATGCCGCTTCTGCTCTCACCCCTGCCCTCATTTGGACCTATATTCCACGGCTCTGCGGGAATTCCTGGTTACCAGCCTCCATCTCTCTTCTCCCGACACTTACACTAACTAATAGCACACAGCAAGACCTGACTACGAAGCTAGACCTCTCCCACCACAGCCCTGACTTCCCTCATGCCCCCCCCCCCCATCACACCATGTTAGGGAGCCCTGTCTAAAGTCTCACATTCAAAGGCACAGGCTTCATCCTGGACATCACACAGCACTGTCCCTTTACTTCCTCACAGGCCATCTGTCCAATCACAAGTGGTCATACGTCTTTATCTAGAACCTTTATAAGCACGTGGCTCAGTCCAGAGCAGCAGGGGACAGACTCAGGCCAGTGTAAGTGTTCATTAACAGCAGTTACTGTATGCTGAGTCCTCAACAGAGCCCAAAGTCTTTAACATGCTCCTGGTGCCTCCAAACTACAGCTAACCCAGCAGTGATCATGAAATTAACTCAGTGAGGCCTACATGTGTTTAAATCAAACAGACTACAACAGAAACACCAGAGGCATACCACATGCAGGGTAAGTAACTATGGTTGGATTTTCTTTCTTTTTTTTTGGAAATGTTTTTTTTGTTTGTTTGTTTTTTTTCCCCGAGACAGGGTTTCTCTGTGTAGCTTTGGAGCCTATCCTGGCACTCGCTCTGGAGACCAGGCTGGCCTCCAACTCACAGAGATCCGCCTGCCTCTGCCTCCCGAGTGCTAGGAATAAAAGCATGCACCACCTACACCCGGTTGAAACGGGGTCTCTCTATGTAGTCCTGGAACAGACTATGATCAGGCTGGTCTTGAACTCACAGAGATCCTCCTGTCCCTGCCTCCTCAGGGCTGAGATTAAAGGTGTGCACCATACCTGGGTAGTGAAACTTTTATCTATATGCACACATGGACTGAGAGAAAGAGACAGTCAAGAAGTAAAATACATATCTATTTTTGGATTAGTCAACCCCCTGGCTGTGACATCCTTCTGTCCTGCTGTTCTTAGTACACGACCTGGCCTATGGAAGAATCAGGTGTTGGACAGACGGAAGAACCAGTGAGGTGCCCTTAACCTACCCAACCACTCACCTGTGGTAGAGCCCACAATGGCTGTGTTTTGATCCACAGCCTCCAAAAACTGACCAATGACCAATGGAATGCTCTGGATTCGCTTCACTTCCTCCTGTGCATGGAGGAATTCTTTCTTCAGATTCTTCTGCTCATCTTTGATATACTCCTCCTGGACCTCCAGGAACTCCAGCTCTTGCTGCAGTTTCTGTAAGCACAGAGCAAAGGGTTGTCTATAGGCCATGCTGTACCAGAGAGGAAGGTGGGGGCAGTAAGTGATGGGGGACCCTATGCAGGATCCGGTTAGGGTTGAGCATACCTTGTAGCGGCTGTACAGGTCCTCCAGGTCCTCAGGTTCAGGCCCCAGAAAGGACAGGCCGGTCTGGGGCCGAGACACAGACAGTGCTGGGATCTCATCCTGTAGACGGGGGAAAAAAAAAGAAAAGCCGGTGCTGGAAGCAGAGAATCATCTCATGAAATCAACTAGAGCTTCCTTCCCATTTCACCACCAAGTCTCTCTGCCTCTAGTACCTGACACACTTGAATTTCTCTAAACGAATACGCGAACTGCTCAACCCCCTATAATGAAAGTGTCTCGCACCAGGCCCCTTAAACTCTTTCCGTCAACATCTCCTCCCATCTGCTACCATGATGCCCCTAACTAGGATGCAAGCGTTACCACAACTCCACCCCAGATGCCCCAGCATCCCGGTCCCCTCCAGAGGTTCTAAAAGCCACATGGTTTTTAAGATCAGAGTGCATTCAGAGTCTCATTACCCAGTCTCCCCCCCTACCCATCCCCCAAAGCTTTCATGTCAGACTCCAAACTCACATAAGGCCGCTCAGCCAAAGCCACAAATAATATTAAACATAACGCCTCCCCGTCCAAGCCCCAGCCCCAGCCAGTCACTGCCACCCGGGCCACAGGGTCCCATTACATCATCCTCCCCCTGGTCCAAGCCCCAACCCGAAAAGCCACTAAGAGCAGCTACCCAGGCCTCTTAGTCGCCGGGTCTCGACGACTCTTTAAGTCTGAGGCCACTTTCCACCCCGCCACCCTGCCCCGGGCTCTGCTTCTGGAGCTCCGCCGCCCTCCTGCCAACGCAGCCAGGCCTCGGGAGCGCTCAAAGCTCTACCCCGCGGCCTCCGGAGCCGCCCGGCCCCCGAGCTGGGGTCCCGGAAGTCACTCCCGCGCCGCCACGCAGGTCTAGCTCGCG